TTTGGGTCATACCCAGTGATGCACAGGAGTTACTCCTGGTTCTTCATTCAGGAATTACCCCTGGTGGTGCTCAGGGGACCATATGGGATGCTGGGAATCAAACCCAGATCAGCTGCGTGCAAGGCAAATGACCTCCCCGCTGTGGTATCACTCCAGCCCCAGTTTTTTTTTTTTTGAAGCAAGATAGTTTTTATTGAAACTTATTTAGAAAGATGTGAGAGGAGAGAAAAGGAGAAGTACATGCTTGAGAGAGAACACAGGCTTCTCCCGAGTGGATAAAGCAGCAGAGAAACAGAGAGACAAGCCAGACACTAGCTCAAGAGGAATCCGGGCTTGAAGAGCGAGACTGGTCTATGCTCTTAACTTCTGTGGAGGGGGGCGGGGACCAGTGGGGCTCTGAGTACCAGACACAGCTCGGCTCCTTCTCAAGCCCCCTGCCTGCTAGCGTCTCCTCTCAGCCTGCACTCTAAGGTGTGGGGCGAGCCAGAGAGATGAGGGCTGGGAACCAGAATCCAGAATGCTGAAGCCGGGAGGTGGAATGCTGCCCTGGCGTGCTCTTGGAAGAACTTCCCTTCAAGAAAGCCTTTCAGATAGCACAGCAGGTAGGGCGTTTGCCTTGCATGCGGCTGACCCGGGTTCAATTCCCAGCATCCCATAGGGTCCCCCGAGCACCGAGCACCGCCAGGAGTAATTCCTGAGTGCAGAGTTGGGAGTAACCCCTGTGCAATGCCGGATGTGATCCTAAAAGCAAAAAAAAAAAAAAAAAAGACTTTTCATTTATCCCCATACACTAACCCCTGAGGATATGTAATAGTCTAACCTGGAGAGATCAAGACTGTTAGAAGCCTGACCAAAGAATGGTGTTCTTCTTTTAATGATTATTGGTTCTTTTGTTGTTGTTTTTTTTACTTTTTTGGGGGGTGACGCACAGGAGTTACTCCTGGATCTGCGCTCAGGAATTACTCCTGGCAGTGCTCAGGGGACCCTATGTGATGCTGGGGATTGAACTCGGGTCAGCCACGTGCAAGGCAAACACCCTCCCTGCTGTGCTATAGCTCCAGCCCATGATTATTGGCTCTAAGCAATAAATGCACCTGAATCAGTCAGGGCTCTCAATCCATGAGACTGTGAGACCACTGACCCCATGCTTTTTTTATTCTTATTTCTGTCTTTACATATATATGTATGTATGTATATATGGGGGGAATCACACCTGGCGATGCTCAGGGGCTACTCCTGGCTCTTCACTCAGGAATTACTCCTGACGGTGCTCAGGGAACCCTATGGAATGCCAGGGATCGAACCTGAACCTGGGTCAGCCATGTGCAAGGCAAACGCCCTCCCCACTATACTATCGCTCCACTCGTTCTGTCTCTTTGCTTAGTCCTCAAGGTATCCCTGATTCAGGCATGTCCCCCTGGGTTTGGTCCAGGGCAGGCTGGTCTGGGTGGTCGCAGCTGTGAGATCAGGGGCTCGAGAGACAGTGTAGGGGTTAATGTGCGCGCCCCCAGACTGATCCTCAGTACCTCATGGATCCCTGGGCATCGCTAGGGTGACCTCGATGAAGCAGCACCCCATCTTTTGGGCTCTAGTACCTAATTTCTGGACTGGTCATTGAGAGTTGCCCCTGGGCTTCCTGAACCCTGCTCGGGTGCCCCCCCAAATAGCACGGTAGCACTCTCCTCCTGTGGCTCATCGATTTGCTCGAGCGGGCACCAGTAACGTCTCCATTGTGAGACTTGCTGTTACTGTGTTTGGCATATCAAATACACCATGGGGAGCTTGCCAGGCTCTGCTGTGCGGGCGAGATACTCTCAGGAGCTTGCCGGGCTCTCCGAGAGGGATGGAAGAATCAAACCCAGGTTGGCCGCGCACAAGGCAAACACCCTACCTGCAAATAAAGAGAAATAAAAATTGTGGGATCATGAGGTTGAGGAGAGGGCCAGGGTGATAGTGCCGTGGAGAGGAGGCTTGCCTTGCATATGGCCAATTCGGATTCAATTTCTGGCACCCTATAGGACCCCCCTAAGGCCCGCCAGGCCAGGAGTGATTCCTCAGCACAGAGCTGGGAGTGAACCCTGAGCACCACCAGTAGGGGGCGGGGGGGGGGAAGAGGCCAGGAAGATGGTTCAGAGGGCTGGAATTCATTCTTGGTGGTCACAGGGTCCTGGGTTCAATGCCCTGCACCCCACTGGCCTCCCAAGAATTGCTGAGCAGTGCAGAGCCTGGATGACCTCCCCACTACAATGGGGGGGTGGGGAACCTCCCCCTCTAAAAAGGGGCTAGAATAATAGTACAGCAGGTATCCCTTGCATACCTGTGTTCAATCCCTGAACTCACATATGGCCCCCAAAACAAAACAACAACAACAAAAATGTGGAGTTCAGCCCCCTCTCAAGCCAGGAGCTTGTTTCATGTCAAATGAGTCTTTCCATCCTCTGTGACTCAGTTTCTTGTTCTGCAAAAGGGAGCATAGAACTGTCATTCTCGCTCAAACTGCTGGTCCAGCCCTGAGCTTAAGATGTGCAAAGAAGAGGCTGGGGATGGGGGGGAGCAGAGAAGGGGTCCAGAGAGGGGGGCCCAGTGCGACGGGCCAGAGGGATACAACAGTGGATAAGGTGTTTGCCTTGCATGAAGCCAACCCGGGTTCAATCCCTGGCACCCCGAATTATTCCTAGAGCCCTGCCAGGAGTAATTCCTGAATACAGGGATTAGAGAGAGAAAGAAGTGAGCCCTGAGCACCATCAGGCCAAACTTCCTCACAAAAAGAAGGTGGGTCAGAGAGATAGGACAAGCAGGTAACCCTGGTTTGATCTCCGGCATCCCATATGGTTCTCCACCAGGATGGATTCCTGAGCACTGCTGAATGTGGCCTAATTTCCCTTTCCCTCCAAAAAGAAAAAGATCCTATCTGGACGTTTCACAGGTTCTGCCAGACTTGCCCGGCTCTGGAGGGGCCTTTGTAGGCCTCTCCTCACCCCCATCTTCCCCCTTGAGTCCCCTCCCTCCATCTTTGCGCTCTGCTGGGGGCATTCCCAGCCTACTTCCGAGATGAGAACACAACACTGAGACCTCCCAACCGGGGATCTGGGGTCCCACACCCGCTGGGTCGAATGCCAAAGAATGCGTCTGTCCGGACTGGGGTGATCATACAGCAGGTAGGGCATCTGCCTTGCACAGGGCTGACCCAGGCTCAATCCCAGCATCCCATAGGGTCCCCCGAGCCCCTGAGCACAGAGGCAGGAGTAAGCCCTGAGTACCACCAGGTGTGACCCCCAAACCAAACCAAATCAAACCAAAACAAAGCATCTTCCCTGCAGATAAAAATGCTTGGTCCAGGATCCAGGAGAGAAATCAAAGGTTCCCTCCCCCCGCTCCCCTCCCCCACAGACATGCACACAACCACTTGTGGAAACAGGTGCATCATGGGCAGGGGCGTCTGTACCCCCGTGTACTGCCAGACTTATGCAGAAACGCTGTTAAGATCTCTGGATGTGTGGACTGCCAGGGTCCATCTGCATCAGCCCCAGCCGCTTGGTGGTTGTGCTCAGTTAGAATCTGATATGCTAGAGCCGGAGCGATAGCCCAGTGGGGAGGGCACTGGCCACGCATGCGGTCGGCCTGGGTTCGATTCCCAGCACCCCCGCAGGTTCCCTGAACCCCTCCGGGAGCGATCCCTGAATGTAAAGTCAGGACGAAGCATTGTCTGGTGTATCTTCCCCCCCCCCAAAAAAAAACACCAATCTGGTGGGCAGGCTCTGAGCTACGCAGAAAGGACTAAATGTCTGAGTGACATGGGCCATCCCAAAGGAAAGCCACATCCTGGGGCTAGGGTCCAGCCCCTTCTGCCCTCACAAGCATGACAGCTGCCCCATGACCCATTACAGGATTTCTTCCCTCTGTGGGCTTCCCAGCATATGCCAATGTTCCTGGTGACAATAATCCACCAAAACGTCGGGACTTCGACAGGTGTGCGTACCTGTGAGTGTGAGTGTGTGTGTGCATGTGTGTGTGTGTATGTGTGGGTGTGTGCATGTGTGTGACGATTCCCATTTGCTGAGCATCTGTAGGCGTTGCGTCCAGCAAAGGGTCATCGGCTGGGAGCTTCTTTCAAAGGTAACTCCCACCCTCACCCCAAACCTTGGCCAGGGACAGAGTGATCATACCGAGCTTTGGGGGTCAGGGGTGTGTACAGTGTGGGCAGCGGGTACGGTTGGCCAGGCTACCAGAGGGACGATGTTAGCTGGGCCGGTGTGTGACAGTCAACACAGTGGTCTGGGGGGAATCCACGAGGACCACCCTGGATGGGTGTGATGGTGATCGGAGGGCCCCAGCCGGCTGGCGGGGAGTGGGGGGTGGGGGGCATTTGCTGAGCTGAGTGCGTAGCCAAGGTTCCCCCACTCCGTCGGCTGGGTGGGTGCACAGGTGGCCGTGTGGCTGGCTCTGCTGGAATGACCACGGGCCGGCGTGCGGGCAGAAGAATCGTGGCCTGGCACGGGAAGGGAGGGAGGGTGTGCGACCCTACCCCCGAGTGTGGCCCCCCACGGCGTGGATGTGATGGCCGGTGAATGAGAGGGTGGGGTGGGCGGGGAAAGAAATCGGCGCGGGTGGACCCCTCTACCCGGCGCTGGCGGGAAGAGCCCCCTCCCTCACGGCCGCGCGGAACAAAGCGAGCGCCAGCGGCGAGGCGGGGCGCGGGGCGCGGGGCTTCCAGCGCGGGCGACCCGACCAGCACAGCCCCCTCCCGGGGCTCTCGGGACCCGCCCCCAGCCCACTCCAGGAAGGAGCCTGGACAGGGACCCCCGATCCCCTCCAGGGCCGCGAGCGCACACACACACACAGCGCGGGCGCACGCTAGGCGCCCCCCGCGCGCAGTGCCCGAGCTCGGCCAGCCGCGCGGTTCAGGACCCTGGACAGCGGCTCGGGCAGGCAGCAAAAAGGGGGTGGACACGGTCGGTCCCCGGGGTCGGGGGCGGGGATCGCGGGCGCAAAGCTCTTACCTCGCGCGGCCGCCGCTCCGGCTCCTCCGGGGAGCGTTGCGCTCTGGCTCCGGTCGCCGCCGCCACCCAAACGGCCTCGGCTGCCTCCGGCCGGGCTGGCGGGCGCACCCGCGACTCGGCTCCGCCGTCCCCCGCGCCGGCTCCGCGCTCCCGCCCCGCGCCCCGCCCCGGGCATGCGCTCTGGCGCGATCCCCAGTTCCCAGCGCGGAGGGGGCGGGGCTCCCCACGACCACGCCCCTTACGACTCCGCCCATTTTGGCCACGCCCCTCAGGCCTCCCCCCCCAGCCCCGGATTGCTGAACCCTCAGACTGTCTCCACCGCATTCCCTTTATTGTTATTATTATTTATTATTATTATTATTACTTTTTTTTGCTTTTGGATCGCACCCAGCGATGCTCAGGGCTTACTTTTGCTCTGCGCTCAAGGATCACTCCTGGCGGGGCTCGAGGGATCCTATGGGGGGCCGGGTACCTATCCAGAGTCGACGATGTATCCATTGTACAAGGGCTCTGGCCCTTCCTCTGCTTCTCCCAGGGAGGAAACCGTGACTCCAGGACAGAAGCAACCTGTGCGAGCACCGGTGACACAGGCTGGACACCCAGCAGGGGACGTGGACTCTGAGCTCTGTCCCCACTGGCGACAGCCCCAGAGAGGAAACTTCTGGCCTTCAGTCTGACCTCTCCCTCAGACCCCGCCCCCCGCCCACAGGCCTCACCCCATATCATCTATAGGCCCCGCCCCACACCTGCAGATCCCACCCCTCGGCAGCCCCGCCCCTCTATTAGGCCCTGTCCCTCCGGTCCATCCCGCTCTCCTCACTGCCTAGTCTCCATCCCTGCCTAGTCTCATCACTGTAGGTGCTACATCCTCTCCCCAGACGGGTCTTCTTTTTGACCCTCATTTTGGTATCTGTAAAATGGGACTAACAGGGGCCAGGGCGGTAGTATAGCGTGGAGGGCGTTTGCCTTGCAGGCTGTCAGGCTCCTGACACCGCATGTGAGCCCTTCCAGGATAGATCTCTTGAGTCCAGAGGCAGGAGAAAATCCTGAGTACACCCGGGTGGCTCCCAAAGCAATAAATACATAAATGAAATTGGAGTAGCATGAATCACACACATACAAACACCACCCCCATTGTGGTCTTGGAGGGTAAACATAGGAGGTGTCCAGGGGCCCCCAGTGGTATTGGAATTGCCCAGACTAAAGGAATCGCTGCTTTTGCCCCACAGTAGACCTAGAGTGCCCTCCCCAGGGTGGAGTCAAGAGCAAGTAGGACTCTTGTCTTGAGTATACCTGACGCGAGTTCAATCCCCAACATCCCATATGCTTCCCCAAGCACTGCCAGGGGTGATTCCTGAATGTGTCCTGGAGTAATCCCTGAGCATCACTGGGTGTGACCCAAAAACTGAAAGGAAAAAATGGAGTTCCCTCCCCTTTGAATTTCCAGAATAGAAAATAAAAACTCACCTTGTGAGAGGCTTTAAATTCTCACCTGTACTTGTGAAAGCACAGACTAAAACTGGGAACGAAGCGTATATTTTGAGGCAAACATCATGCTCAGTAGGTGTTCACAAGGTTTCATCTGATTTTTTATTTCCAATCACTCAGGAGCAAATTAATAGCATTCTATTACATTTTCCTTGTTCAAATAAGGAATCTGAGCTACAGAAATCACATCACAGATCTGCAGTCATGGTTAGTGGTGGAGCTAAGTCCTGAAAGTCCGGGCTTCAATCCTTACCTTTGTGAAATTGTTTGTTTGGATTTTAACCCCCACTGGTGCTGGTGGCTAGTCCTGGTGCAGTGCTCAGAGGTCACTCCAGGTAAATGCAAGACTTGAACCTCAAATGGGGCGTTTCCAGTTCTCTGAACCATCTCCTAGGCCTCACTCCTTTTTAACTCTTTAAAATAAAAACAGGGGCTGGAGTGATAGCACAGCGGGTAGGATGTTTGCCTTGTACGTGGTCAACCTGGGTTCAAATCCCAGCATCCCAAATGGTCCCCTGAGCACCACCAGAGTGGTTCTTGAGTGCAGAGGCAGGTGTAATCCCTGTGCATCACCGGGTGTGACCAAAAAAAAGCAAAAAATAAAATAAAATAAAAACAGTGGTATGGAGAGATAGTACAATGGGTAAGACGCTTGCCTTGCATATGGCTGACCCAGGTTTGATGCCTGATGCTTCTTGTGGTCCCCTGAGCATCTACAATAGTGGTCCCTGAGTGAAGTCAGGAGTAAACCCCAAGCACAGCTGAGTGGGACCCAAACAATAAAATAAAATAAGCGGGGCTTAAGTGGGGTTGGAGAGATAGCACAGCGGGTAGGGCGTTTGCCTTGCACGTGGCCGACCCAGGTTGATTCCCAGCATCCCATAGGGTCCCCTGAGCACCGCCAGGAGTAACTCCTGAGTGCAGAGCCAGGAGTAACCCCTGAGCTTCGCTGGGTGTGACCCAAAAAACAAAACAAAAAATATTTTTAAAATTAAATAAAATAAGCTATGGAAAATCCATGATAATCCAGAGTCAGAGCACAGGCCTGAGTTCCTGAGTTGGATTTGTGATCTGCTGTGACATATAACCCAGTACCGTGCACAAGTATCAACGTGTGTCCAAGCCACGATCATCACAATGACAATAATAAGGTAAGGAGGAGGGGGAAATAAAAAAAACGAGATGACAAGTGAAATTCAATCACACAGGGGTCTTTAATGTCCCAAGGAAAGAGAAGCCAGGCAGGGCACTGGACCTATTTTCAGCACCGCGGACAGCACACCCGCGCATCCGGTTTCCGGGACTGAGAATTATTCCTTCACCACCCACAAGGGTGCTTCAGCGCCCAGTGCACAAACACTTCTCTACATCTGCCTTTTCTTTTGCTTGTCTTGGTTTTGCGTGGGGGATACATCTGGAGATGCTTGGGGACTACACCAGGCTCGGTGCTTAGGGTAGGCTTGTCGGATCACAGTACCAGGAAGCAAGTCTAAGGCTCTTGAATGCAAAGCCTGGGCTCCAGCCCACTGAGCTATCTTTTGTTTCTGTGGGGGGGGAAGTATTTTTTAGGCCACACCCTGCTGTGCTCAGGACTAACTCCTGGCTCTGAGTTCAGGGATCACTCCTGGAGGGCTTGGGGGACCATCCAGGGTGCCAGAGATTGAATCCAGGTTGGCTGCATGCATGGCAAGCACCTTACCGGCTGTTCTATCACTCCAGTCCTGCTCGCTTTCTCATTTTATGGAATTTTCCCTTGTAGTTCTTCAAGGATAACATGGAGAGCCTCGATAATATAGGTTAAGAAAGCAAAGTTCAAGAGCTGAAGAGATAGTATAGTAGATAGGGTGCTTGCCTTACTCAAAGCTGACCCCAGTTCAATCCCTGATACCCCATACAGACACCCCACACAGGAGTGAGCTCTGAGAACTGCTGGGTTTGCCCCCCACCCAAGAGAGAGATTGAGATGGAGGGAGACAAGAAAAAGGAAGGAGAAGAGGGAGGAGGGTAAAAAGGCTTTGAGAGACTGGAGCTATAGTACAGTGGGTAGGGCACTTGCCTTATTTGCAGCTGAACTGGGTTCAATCTGCAGCCCCAATATGGTCCCCAAAGCTCTCCAGGAGCAATTTCTGAGTGCAGAGCCAGGAGTAACCCCTGAGCATCTCCAGGTGTGGCTCAAAAATTTTAACAAAAACAGGTAGGCTGGAGCAATAGTACAGTAGGTTTAACATTTGCCTTGCACGCGACCAACCCAGGTTTGATCCTTGGCATCCTATGTGGTTCCCCAAATAGCACCAGGAGTAATTCCTGAACTCAGATCCAGGAGTATTCCCTGAGCAATGCTGGGTGTGCCTCCCCCAAAAAAGGTCTTGATCATGGGGTGAATGTAGATTTGGAGCAAAGACTCAACTTCCTCCCAGAGTTCTTTCCATCCCGGTGCCTATTGGATGAATTAAGGTCAGATATCTGATATGCTGGGGACAGATGGAACCTTAAATCTCTGAGTCCCAAACTGAGTGCCGGAGTGGACAAGGCTGAGGACAGACCAGGGCTGGGTATCATACAGGGGGTATCTGCATCTGGAGGCAGGTAGAGACCGAATATGGTGAGATGGGGGTCCCAGGTCCACCCTGGGGCACTGGAGGAAAGTAGGCAGTAACATCTGAGGTACCAGAAGAACCAAGAAGAGTGTGATTTCTCAGAAGGCCCAGTGAGAGAATTTTCCAGAAGGAGGGCAAGGTGCAGAAGGAAGAACAGATAGGGTCTGATTTAGAGGTGTCCTCTGGACTTAAAAAGGAGGTGATGGGGAGTTGATGAAAGTGTGATTAATGGAGAGAGGTGAAAGCTGAATGTGGGTGTGAGTCGATCAGAATGAGGACACAGGAAGCTGTCCAGTTGGGACTTGGGGGAAGAGAGGTCTGATTGTCTCTGCCGCAGGTAGAAGATTCAGATACCTCTGGGGACTCTACAATTGACTAGAAACACCTTCTTCTGGGGCCAGAAAGATTGCACAACAGGTACATATGGTACAGCATTTGCCTTGCATGTGGCTCACCTGAGTTCAATCCCCGGCATCCCATAAGATCCCCCTGATCCCTGTCAGGAGTGATCCAGGAGCACAGAGCCAAGAGTAACCCCTGAGCATCATTGGGTATAGCCTATAAACAACCAAAAAAAAAGGGACCAGACGGTGGTACAGCAGGTAGGGCATCTGCCTTGCATGTGGCTGACCCAGGTTCGATCCTGACATCCCATAAGGTCCCTCACACACAGCCAGGAGTAATTCCTGAGTGCAGAGCCAGGAATAACCCCTCAGCATTGTGTGAACCAAAAATCAGGGGAAAAAAGAAAAGAAGCACCTTCTTTCTTGCAAGCAGGTCAAGAATTGAACCCCTGAGTTCATTTCTGGGGGGTCTCTGCCATCTGGGAGCAGTGTGCACATTCCCGGGAGTATGAGTAACTGCAGCTAACATGTCTGACCCCAGCATTAAGCACCACAGCGAAGCTTGTGCCAAAGCTCCCTGGCAACATCAGCAAAATGGAGGGAGGGAACTTTAGAAAAGGGGGTATTTGGGGAGGTTGCTCAAAGGGCTAGAGGGCAGGGTTTGTATATGGGAAGCCTGGGTACCATCCCCATCACTGCAAGATCCCCTAAATACATGCAACACACACACACATACACATCATGA